GATATCCATATCCATTTCCACCTGCCACTACAACTCCTTGGTTGTTAAATTCTTCCATTTTCCATCGTCTCACTTCATTCTTCTTAAAATCAGAAACATAAAGAAATCCATGTTTATCCATTGCTAAGCGAGAACAATCAATATTGTCAATGAGAATTTGTTGCTTTTGATTTAACCATTGAATCACTCGTCTGTTCCCTTGATCAGCAATGATAATCGAATGATTTTGTTGATCAACAATCACATCTGTTGGTATGTTCAATTGATCTATTCGATTTCCTTGCCCATTTGCACCTACAATAATTTGTCCCTCTTTTGCATTATGTTTCCATTTAACAATACGATGATTTGAACAATCAGCAATGAAAATATTTTTGTTTTTATCAATAAACATTCCATGAGGGCCCATGAGTTGATTAAATCCTTCCCCTTTTTCATTTACACCAGCCACAGTAATAGCATTTTGTTTCCATTTGTTGAATTTCGGTTCTAGAGAATAACGAAACAAAAGATTTCCATGAAAAGAATAAGAAAAAGAAAAAGAAAAAGAAGAAGAGTTGTTTAATTTTTGTTTGAAATTGAAGTTTTGTTTTTACTATTCTATTTAGTATATAAAGGTGACAATCTATTTGATTTTATTATTTATTCTAATTTACAATTTTAATATGAATATTTAGAAAAATGTTTCAAATAGAATAAAAGCTTTCTTCAATATTATTTCATATGTTATCATTCTTTTTCTTTGTATTATAGTTGTTTAAAATACTTTCATAGAAATTGAGAATTATCCAGTTAGAAATTATTTGGTAAAAACTTACTTTTTTCTAATGGGATAATTGAAATTTCATTAATAAATGATTGTGGATCTTGCTGAATAGAAATAGTTGATGGATTATTTAATTCTTCAGTGATTTCTATTAGATGATTTCTTAAATAATCTAAATTCATTTCATTAAATTCATTTTCTTCATGAATTTGTTTTATTTGTTCAGATAAATCATGAAATTTCATTTCAATATCATCAATACATGTTTGTGAATATTTAATGAAGATTTCTCTGCACTCTTGTGCATTTTGTTGAATTTTTTCAATAGATTTTATTTCCCATTGATTAATTTGTTCTATTAATGGATGATTTTGTAGATGTTGTGGATTTTGTTTTTGTTCATTAATCCTTTGTTTAAATTCATTATATTCATTGGTTATATGATTTAATTCGTCATTTAATATTTGTTTATGTTCTGATAAATCCATAAAACAAAATCGTTGTGAACATCCTTCACAAGGATATGTTATTTTTTTTTTCTTGCAATTAAAACATTGTGTTTTATTGTCTATCATTGCCATGTCTTTGAATATAAATTTCTAGATATAAATTTAATCACTCAATGATAATAAAAATATTGTTCAGTAGTTAAAGAAGTCTCAAAGGAACTTTTTCGTGCAAAAATTCTAGTGATGTTTTTTCAATGAAAGAATATTTTGATGCTGATTTAGATGTAGTTGAAGCTTAAACATCGATCGTTACCCTCAAAATAGATGATATATTAATCTCTTATACTGTTATTATCATCACTCTTATTCTTAAGATAATTATTATGTAATATTCTTTTTTGCTTATTTTCATATTATTTCAAAAGAATAACTTACCAAAATGAAACTATTCCAAACAATTGAATTGTTAAACTTATGGTATTTTGTAATCAATTCGATGTGAATCAGAATTCCGCTGTACCACTTGTAAGCGAATAAATAAACTATTCGTTCGCCACATTAACCACATATATGATCACGTGGTATTTTCTTCTTCCAGTATTCTCCTCTATTCTTTCATATATCATCGTATCGAATTTTTTTCTTTTTGTCATTATAATTTGTTTTTCTTTTGCTCTTTTAACTTATATCGAAATAATAAAAGTATATGACATAGGTATTTGTTCAGAATATATTATATACCAGAGATGGGAGAAATCGAAGAAATAATTACGTGTTCTTTTTAAATCAATGAACTATTACTTATATGCTTTCAAACATCATTTTTTTTCGTCAACTTTCGTTTTTATCGATTAAGTTCTTTTAGCTATTTTGTAAAACAACAAAATTAGATGTTTCATATGCTTATTTTCAGCTATATATTGTGTCTGAAAAAAATATGTAATAAAACATTTCAAGTGAAGAAAAATAACAAAAAAACACGTTTTGTTTTTGGTGAAGTAGATTTTGAGTGTTTCATAACGAAACAACATCGAAAAAATCAAACGTGAATAAAGTGGAGATGGTTTCCTTTTGTTAATTATTGAAATTAAAAATCCTAAATAAATTTTACAACAACACAAAACCATTGATACATATAATGATTTAATTGAAAAAGAAAAACTATATCGAAATAACCAAAATATAGTCACATGTAAGGATAAAAACGAAAGTATTATATATAACCGAATATTTTAAAAGTTATTTTGATATATTTCAGTATAAATACATAATGAAACATGTTTGAAAAAATTCTATATTGTTTAAAATGAATTCTTTCATAGAAATTCTATAAAAATTTTAATATGATATGTTATTCATTATTTTTATCATATTAAAATCTAATTAATATATCAATATGTTATATTAAAATTAGAATGATATTTTTAAAAGACAAAAAACAATTTGTTCAATATTATTTTCATACGAATATCATCTAAACAGAATCTTTGAAAATCTAATAAATGTTTTGAAGAGTAAAATATCTTATTTTATAATGATTTTATCATAATCATTAAATAATTAACAGAAATCGAATATATGAAAATTAAATGAAACAATAATATTATTCATTCATATGTGATTTCAAATGTTGATAATCGTGCATATCGAAGATAATCATGCTACGATCATCTTGTCTGTAATTCTCTTGTCAAACATAAAACTCTCAATTCACATAAACGTTTTAGATTTTATTTTTGGGAAGAAAAGATATTTTCTCATAGCCAGATGTATTCTTGATAAATTTATCTGAAAATATTTCATCACGAAACTCAATTATTTGGTTAAGTATTTATCAACTTCGAGTAATTTCAATCTGGTAATAAAAATATTTCTTCAAATATTCTAGTGTTATTTTTTATCAAATAATTTTACTTTGGAATGTGAATGTGAATCAAAACATAGTGAAGATAAGACTAATACTCGCAAATAATTTTCTTTTTCTTTTCGTCAACGTTAAAAACTAGAACAAAACAGTAATTGTTTCGATCGAAAATTAATATAAAATTAAAAATATTTCAAAAAAACTTTTTATCCAAAAATTAAAACAAAGAAAATGTTGCATTTTTTTTATTTGTAAAAATTGAATTAAATATAATAAAGAATTTCTGACATATTTATTTTGACAAATCATTTTTCAATTCAATTCAAATTATAAAATATTTGCTTTTTTTTTCTTCTGTAAAATTCGACAAAAATTAACAAGAGAGGAAGAATTTAATATTCATTTATTCGAAATTTTTTATGAACATTACCAATTCAATCCAAGATTGAAAAAAAAAACAAAAAAGATTTTCCTTCGTTTTTTTTCATATCAAAAAGTTATTTGATTTTTCTCATTCATTTTTAATAATAAAAATTCACTTTTTCTTTTGTTTCTCGGTTATTTATTTAACAAAATTTTATTTCTTTTTTTTTCAAAACCAAAATTTCGTTTACAAAATTATTTCAAATTTTTGAACTCGATGATTCAAATAATCAGCAACATAAAGATTTCCATCATCATCAAAAGATAAACCACTGGGGAGATTCAATTGATTTGATTGATTTCCTTGATCATTTCCACCAACAACAATTTCACCTTCTTCTTTTCCTTCACACCAACGTATTACTCGATGATTACCATAATCTGCCACATAGACTTGACCCAAACCATCAACAATTACACCCTGAGGATGATACAGTTGATTGAGATTTTCTCCTCCATCATTTCCTCCAGCTACAATTGTTCCTTCTTTTGCATCTTTTCTCCATTTAATAATACGTTGATTTCCCCAATCTGATACATAAACAGATTGATCTTCATCAACAAAAATAAAACCTGGAGAATTCAATTGACTGAGTTGATTTCCATTTCCATTTCCACCTGCTACTACAATTCCTTCATTGTTATATTCACCCATTTTCCATCGTCTTACTTCATCCTTCCCAGTGTTAGTAACATAAAGAAATCCATATTTATCCATTGCTAAGCCATAACAGCAAATATGATTAATGAGAATTTGTTGCTTTTGGGTCAACCATTGAATCACTCGTTTGTTTCCTTTATCAGCAATAATGATCGAATGATTTTGTTGATCAATAATCACATCTGTCGGATGACTTAATTGATCTATTCGATTTCCTTGTCTATGTGTACCTGCAATGATTTGTCCTTCCTCTTCATTACATTTCCACTCAACTATACGATGGTTATGATAATCAGCGATGAAAATATTTTTGTTTTTATCAACAAAGATTCCGCGAGGGCTATTGAGTTGATTTAGTTCTTGTCCTTCTTCATTTCCACCAGCCACAGTGATAGCATTTTGTTTCCATTTGTTGAATTTTGGTTCTAGAAAAAAATGAAAAGAAAAGATAATTTCAAATGAAACTTTAATAAATATATTTAATAAAGATACAAATTTAGTTTTAGTTTTCTAATTTCTCAAAAACTTTAATATGAAATATCTAAAGTGTTGAAACTTAGAAGAAAAAGTTTTTTAGCTAACTTTTATTTCATATCTTATTATTCTTTTCTTTTACACACAAATATGTTTAATTTTCTATTTGTATTAATAAATAAATCGATAATGTTCTTGACTTTTGTATCTTCTTTATCATCACTTTTCTTTGTATTATAATTTTTTAGCACAAATTCATAGAAACTTACTTTGTTCTAATGAAATAATTGAAATTTCATTGATAAATGGTTGAGAGTCCTCTTCTATAGAAATAGTTGATGGATTATTTAGTTCTTCTGTAGTTTTTCTTAACTGAATTCTTAGGTAATTTAAATTAATCTCATTAAATTCATTTTCTTCATCAATTTGTTTCATCTGCTCAGATAAATCATTAAATTTCATTTCAATATCATTTAAAAATGTTTGTGAATATCCAATGATAATATTTCTACAATCCTGGGCTTCTTGTTTAATTTTATCAATTGAGTCTGTTTCCCATTGATTAATTTGATCTATTAAAGAAAGATCATGTGAATTTGGTTTTTGTTCACTAAATATTTCTTTAAATTGATCATAATCATTAATAATAAGATGTAGTTCTTCTTTTAATATTTGACGATGTTTTGTTAGATCCATTAAACAAAAGTTTCTCAAACATCCTCCACAAAGATATGTTATTTTATCTTTATTACATGTAAAACATTGTGTTTTATTGTTTACCATTGCCACGTCCTTGGATATAAATTTCTAGAAGAAATGAATATTTCCTAATTTGCTTTTCTAGATGTAAACTTATAATAACTCAATGATAATAAAAATATTGTTCAGTAGTTAAAGAAGTCTAATATTCTCTTTTGCTCATTTTTTATATTAGTTCAAAAGACTAACTTACCAAAATCAAACGATTTGAATGAGAATTCTGTCTATAGCAGTTCTAAGCGATCAAATAAATTATCCTTTTGGAACATTAACCACATACATGACCACATGGTATTTTCTTCTTCCAGTATTCTTCTCTTTTCTTTCATATATGATCGTATCGAATTTTTTTCTTTTTGTTATTATAATTCGTTTTTCTTCTACTCTTTTAACTTATACAGAAATAATAAAACTATATGACATAGTTATTCGTTCAGAATATATTGTATTTCGGAGATGGAAATAATCGAAGAAATAATCACCGCTCACCGTATAAATAATTGCGTGTTCTTTTTTAAATCAATGAACTGCTACTTATATGCTTTCAAATATCATCTTTTTCGTCAACTTTCGTTTTATTGAGTGAGCTCTTTTGGCTGTTAGTTTGTAAAAGAATAAAATTTGATGTTTCATATGTTTATTTTCAACTATATATTTGATTTGGAAAAAAAGATGCGACAAAACATTTCAAGCGAAGAAAAATAATGACAAAGAAGCGTTAGGTTTTCGATTAAATGGATTTTTAGTGTTTCATAACGAAACAACATTGAAATGTCTTTTGTATTTATTATAATAGTCATGTCATTGAAGTTTACAATATCTTTGATAGTAAGTTATTCAAACTGAACGGACTGATCAGGGAGGAGTACGCCTTCGAATACGATTGAACGATTGTTTAAATGCTTTCATATACAATTCTGAAGGAAAGACAAAGATAAGAAAAATTAACATCGAAGGAGTAAACGAAATGAAATATGCTCCAAGATACAACCACAAGTTCTTAGACGTTTTCGCATAACCAGGAAGTAATGAAATGATGAGACGAGGTATTGATAAAACGAGTAAAACAATTGGACTAATGATTAACTGTTTATGTTCACTGAATTGTAGTTGAATATGTTCTTTAAAGCTTTGGTTAGTTCGTGCCATTGATCGTTGGCGAGCACCTCCAAAGATAATGAACAATGCAGAGAAAAGATTGACAATAAATGGACCAACAAGATGAAAAAATAGAACGGCTGTATTGTAATCTTGGACAGAAGGAGAATAACGAGTGATACATGAGACATATCGCTTGATTGTGTCTTCATTTGTCTTATTCGTATTTGTCGTATCTGGTGCTGTTTCATATTCGAACAATCTACGAAATGCGAGCTCGTGAATAAGAGTGCCGAAAATACAGAATGGTAAAATAAGAATTGTCCGTCGAGCAATAGATTTGCTCTTTTTTTTATCAAATTTTACTCCTTTAAAAATAAGTATTGCCCGTTCAACTGCTACACAAGCATTAAGCCAACCATCCATGTAGAGAAAAAGTTTTAGAATAGGTTCAATAGATGCACAACCTCCACGAAGAACAGAGAGGCTAGTGGACACATTGATATGAGTAAGAACAACAAACCAGAATTTAATTATGAACATACTAATTGTTAAAAGAGAAGTAATCGATGATGTCAATAGATACATTCCACATCCAACTTGTTGAGAATCTTTACTTTGAAATGTAATAAAAGAAAGAACACTATTGATTAATCCTGCGATGAACATAATTATTGTTAAACCAGCACTTAATTTAATCGAAAATGATTGATTATTCAACACTGTGTTTAGTTGAAGTTCATTCTGTAAAATATCATCGAGTGTTAAACCAATTCCTTTGATGTAAAAGTTACATTGATCACCGATCACACAACTACTTTCTTTTGGACCTAAAATATTGAATATATTTTGAAAAGAGAATAATGAAGAAATTCAGTTGTTTAGACAATTAAAATATTCAGTTTGCGCAACTTACTTATTTCTCAAATGAAAATGAATTCCAGTGTATTGGAATATCTGCATCTTTCACTACTGATTTCGAGAAATAGAAAAAATTATTGAAGAAACTTTTACGTTTCTAAGATTTCGAGTGTTCGAAAATTGCATATCCATAACGATCTAAAAGGCTTTAAGTAGTAGCATTCAAAATAAGAAAAATCTATCTAGAACCCACGCCAATCAAGTGTCTTTTCTAACAGATCAATAGACCAAAAGATTCTGAAAACTATTTACTTTAATAACTCGATACATCTTTTTTCAAAGCCTAAATAACAATTGCTCACTAATCAAAAAAAAATATAAGAAATCTTCTTTTCACGTGTTTTATGCCGTTATGTATCTATCGAAAAAATCATATAAATACTTACTGAAAGGACTAAGACTGATATTGTTTGGTCCCGAGATAAAAACAGAGAAGTTTCCAGTTATCTTAGGATAGTGTGTTGACACAACTAATATGTATCGAATGTTGATCTCGAGATCGATGATTAATTTGAATTGTCCATCGTTACATTCACCGTCATGTGATAGAAGTAAATTTTCAGATGGTTTTAGAGGATTGAAATCATTTTTGTAGATATATCCATATGCATTGATATTATTTTCACTCCAAAGAACATACAAACCCGTTGCATTAACATGAATTTCTAAAGTTTCATAATGGCATTGTGGTACTTGGCAATCTCGATAATATGTTGGACTATCATCAGTTAATTCTGATGAATATTTTAACTGAATATTGACTGGAGTACCTGTTTAACAAAAAATAAATTCATAGAATTCATAGAATTACGGTACTATTACAAATTCCTGTTTTCCTCATTTCATTCAGAACATTTTTATTGACTAATAAAAAAACAGAAACAGTTAGATAACTATCCGTCCATGAATCTATTATCTGACATCGACGAAAGCGAAATCTTTGAGATTTCTGTGAAGATTTAATTTTACAAATAAAGATTATTAAATGTACTAAATTCACATTCTCCAGGTGAGTATTCTGAGACCAGTACGTCACACAATTCTAAAAGTCTTGAGCTATAGCAAGATACTCTTTGGATTTTCAGCATTTGACTATCAAATATTTCCAAACATCTCATTACCTATTCATTTTAGAACATTTTTCATTTAGTATTTATAGAAACCGAACAGTATCTATCTACTAAGATAATGATGACAAAATATACGAGTAGATAGCCTGCTGGAATATGCCTTAGTATCTACTAGCATGAGTTTATTACATTCTTTATATGAAGAACAGAAGATGAGATTGAATTTGAAAGAGATACTGTATATTTTGTACGAATTATTTAATATATAACATACATATCTATATACTTACTGAGACGCTCGAGAATAAGTTTGTTTTTACCCAACGCCGCGATCGAAAATTCTCCAATTTGTTTTGAATCAGATGTTGTCACAACCATTACATATATCGTATCAACATCAAGACGAATATCAAGTTTGAACTGATCAACCGGACTGCTGTCGTCATCTGTTTTAAGCAAATTCTCTGATGGATCAAGTGGATTAAATTTATTTTTGTAAATAGACCCATATGAATCGATGGTACCACTACTACGAAAAGTGTAGAAACCAGTTTCCTTCACCTTCACTTGAATGGATTCATAATATAAATTTTGTTTGTCACACTCTCGGTAATAAATTTGATTGTTCTTAGCCAATGATGACGAATAGGTATTTTGGAGAACCGATAAAGTATTGGCTAAATGAATAACAAGATTAATTTAAGTTTATCGTGAGTGCACAGAGATGCAGGTCTTTCTGAATAGAAATTTTTATTCGCTTAAAATATGCGTTCCTAACCTATTGAACTGACAATCTGTGTTCAAAAGGATAAAAGACTGTTTCTTCATCACAACGCATTTGAAATGAATTGAGTCTATTCTGTAATAGTGTTTGTTTTTCGATATTTTGAAAAGAGAAAATGTCATGTAAGTCGAACAGTGTCATAGGGAATCTAATAAAATTGTTTGATCGACATGCACAGTACAATGTTTGATTTTTACATGAAACTCAAAAATTCGAAACAAAATCTGACCAGTGAAAGGAGAGAGAGAAACTTCTAAATCATTAAATTTAACTAAGGGTTTTTTAATAATCAATCATTGAAATAAAACATAATATTTTTCACGTTGATCAGATAGTTTCTGCGTCACATCTACGAAGTTCTGTTTTATTCTTTGAATAACAATCAAAATATTTTGTGATTTTTCTAACATGATAATTGTCTTCACATCTTGAAGATGAGAGTGTATAAAAAGAGAATATCTATAGCCAATTAAAGTTTCTTCTCTTAAATAAACTTACTGAATTTGTATCGAAATTCTTAAATTAACTAATTATTTCATTTACACAACTTTATATTTTTTCGATCAAAAAAGTTTCATATACAGATTCCTTATGATTTGGACTTCGGTTTTTTCTAACGAAAACTATACAACTTTTCGCTATCAACATTCACATCTCATTCTATTATACTCCAACTTACGTACCACAATATTTTTTTGGATAGTTAAACTTTTGAATTCTAGAGTTTCCTTGGTCAGTCACATACATGTTTCCAAAATGATCAAAACTAAAGCTAAATGGACTAGATAATTGATTGGATTGTGTACCCACTCCATAACATCCAACTAAACATCGAAAACCATTCAAGTCTGAACCAACAATGCGATGATTTCCAGAATCCACAATGAATAAATATTTGTCAGCATCTAATATAATTCCGCTTGGACAACGAAGTGTAATTGTTGGATATAGTGTTGAATTTCCAGCCACTGGCATACCATATGAATTTCCCGGCCGAAACAACTGAACTTCATCATTTCCGCAATCTGCCACATATAAGTCCAAATTCGCATCGACAAAGATTCCACGAGGACTATTGAGTTGATCTGAGGCTGATCCTTGAATACCTGTTCCAGCAGCAACACAATTTGAAGTCATCACAGCAACACTGATTGATCTTTTCACTACTTGATGATGCCGAGGCATTGAACAATAAAGAGTATCATTGATATCGACAAACAAACCCCAACATGATGAACTGACATTCATCACCGTGATAAAGTTATTTATTTCTGCACTCCATTTCTGCACTCGACCATTCTTAAATCCATCATCAATATAAATATCACCATTTGATATCACGAAGAGAGAGCTGGGTTCTGTAAAATTACCGGAAATGATCTTTGTTGGAGTAACATTCTCTTCATTCCATATTAGAATTGCGTTGTTTTTTTGATTAGTAACATAAATTGTGTTGTTTATGTTTATAAAAACGGCAGTAGGATCTTCACCAACAATTGATCGATTAGTAAAGGTAGTTGCATTGGAATGCCAAATGGCTTTTGAACAAGACTTTGGCTTATTGAATGAAAGAGCTAAAAACACGAAAAAGAGAAAGAAGATTAGAGAAAAACTGTAAATGAAATGAAGTTGTTAATTTTTATATTCATAGAAGAAAGAAGAAGTTTCTTTAAAGAAACTTTTGATCAGCAAGACGTTTAGAAATGTTTGTTAACATTGATTTTAGGAATGATTTTTATTAATTTTCATATGCAATATAAATTGCGCGATTGTTAAAATATTTTTGATTAAAACATCGATATTGATCATTTCAGAATAAAAAATTTTCTTATTATTTTGTGTTGAAAAATCTTCTAGAAGACCTCTATACATTGTATCAAAGAAAATAGATGAATAAAACAAACTATTTATTTAAGAAAAAATAATCAACAGAAAAGAAGAAGTTTTTATTAATATCAAATCTCTTTTCTTCGAATTTTAAACTTTTCATTCGCCTTTCTGGAATGAATTTTAATTATCAAGCTGGTTTTTTTTTGAAATAATTCTGCAGATATGCCATTGTGGATTTTTTTTTAAATATCTGTTCAAACACTAATTTCAATTTTCAAACATTTATTCAAAGTTCCTAAAACTTTTTTCTGATAAAAATTTATAGTTAATTTAAAGAAGAAATCAAGGGGAAAAGATAAATGTCCCTGTGTTATCACAGTTGCCTATATTATTGAGAATATAACTTGATTTATCTTATTAAATCTCATTAAGAAATAAAAAATAATATCGGCACACATTATATTGGTACTGAATAAAGAAGAAAAGAAAAATGAGAGAGAAAAAATACGATTTATTATAATCCATAAAAATTCTTTTTTTTTCTATAGACATTCTTCATACACATTCTTGCTCGAAGACTTTTTATTTCAAGAAACTTCAAAGATTCATCATAGATCACAATATTTCGTCTTTGTTCAAAATAAATAAAAAAAATCTTTCTTTGCAATCTTAATAGTATTTTCCAGATTTCAATGTTTTTCCTATGAAACGAAGAACAAAACAAGAAAATCTTTATCGTTATGTGAAAAGAATAAATAATTCTCTTAAAACAAAACCAGTCATTAGCTACACACCTTCAAGAAAAAGTAAAATAAATATTAGCAAAACTAATAAATCTTTTATCAATCAGAAAAACATTTTCTGATGGAAGTTTTGAAATGTAAACAAAGTTTTTTTTAATTGACTTATTTAAAATTTTCGTTTGAGGAAAATCTAGAATAGATTTGACTAGAAATCAATTCTTCTTATTCTTCATCTTAAATAAATGAATTTGATTAAACAAATAATTATTTTTATTTAAAATCAAGTCAATAGATTTTATTTATTTAATCAAATAAACAACTTTTTTTTTCTTCCATAGAAAATATACTCTGTTTACAATTGTAGCAACAATAACATATGTCATATTATAGATTGTCTTCACCTATTCAATGTCACTCTCTGCAATTAAATATTATGATAACTATCCAAAAGATAAATCAACAATCAAACATTTCTTTATGAGATAATTCATTTTTTTTATAATGTTTGATATTTAGAGTTATCTCTCTCAAAAAGAAACAATCACTAAATTCATTTTGCATAAAAAAGTAGAAAAATTAGTTTTTAGAATTATGATATTATATTTATCTTATTTTTCTTGAATGAAACATATGGAAATATGAAATATGAAGTAAAATCATAGAATAGTTTATATTAAAACTATATCGGCAAAGATATGAACAGATTTTACTTCAATAAAAACTATTTCATCGATGAAATATTCTTTGAGATATATGAAATAAAACATGAAAGCCCTTTCCACCACTTTATTAAGGACAGAACTTTTTCTTTCTATATTCTTTAATCTCTACAAAAAGGCGAAGATTGTTTGTCTTAGACAATTGACACATGGCTCTGTCTAATGTGCGCATTTCATTTCCTTAAACACATTCTTTTACACATTCATTTAATTATTCTTTCTCAATCATTTTTGTTTTCTTTCGTATTTTATATTGAAACATCTTTATTAACTTCTGTTACTTATCTGTTCATTTCTTTTCATCTTATTCAACTCTTCTTCAGCTTACCAAAAGAATCTTTCATCAATAAAAATTTTTGAATTCGAGAATTTCGTTGATCAGTAACAAACATGTTTCCAGAACGATCAAAACTCAAGCTAAATGGACTAGATAATTGATTGGATTGTGAACCCACTCCATAACATCCAACTAAACATCGAAAACCATTCAAGTCTGAACCAACAATGCGATGTTTACTCCAATCTGCAATGAATAAATATTTGTCAGCATCTAATATTATTCCGCTTGGACAACGAAGTGTAATTGTTGGATTTAGTGATGTACTTCCAGCCACTGTGATCCCATTTGATTTTCCCGACTGGAACAACTGAACTCGATCATTAGCAAAATCTGCCACATATAAATCCAAATTCGCATCGACAAAGATTCTATAAGGAAGATTAAGTTGATCTGAGGCTGATCCTTGAATACCTGTTCCAGCAGCAACATGATTTGAATCTATCACAGAATTAATTAATGATCTTTTCACGACTTGATGATGACGGTACATTGAACAGTAAAGAGTATCATTGATATCGACAAACAAACCTTCACATGATGAGTTAATATTCATCACTGTGACAAAGATATTTGTTTCTGCTATCCATTTCTGCACTCGACCATTCTTAAATCCATCATCAATATAAATATCACCATTTGATATCACGAAGAGAGAGCTGGGTTCTGTAAAATTACCGGAAATGATCTTTGTTGGAGTAACATTCTCTTCATCCCATATTAGAATTGCGTTGTTTTTTTGATTAGTAACATAAATTGTGTTGTTTATGTTTATAAAAATGGCAGTAGGATCTTCACCAACAATCGACCGATTAGCAAAAGTAATTCCATTGGAATCCCAAATGGGTGTTGGGCCAAACTTTGGTTGATTGAAGGAAAGAGCTAAAACGAGAAGAATGTAAAAAATATTAGACAAGAACTGCGAATCCAATGAAATTGTTAATTTATGTTGTTTCTTGGAAAAATTCATTGAGATTATTTTTGAAAACATTTCTTTGATTGTTGTTCTATTTACTCGAACGATTTGTAAATATCAACTAAGATACGGCTGAATTCATCGAAGAAGATCAACTTTATTGTTGTTTTTTTATTGTAAAAGAAAAATACTTATGTTAGATCTTTGAAAAGATTTAATTTTCATTGACAATAAAAAACAATAATCAAATCATTCTTTTTGTTTATTGGACGAAAATCAATTTGAAGGAGGAAAAAAGAACTGTTTAGAATGAAAATGAGTTTATTGAGATTCAAACAAAATGCCTTTATAACTCAAAATTAACTCTCATTTTCATATGAAAAACATTCTGAATTTATTCATGTTAAATCATCTCAATTGAATCTAATATGTGAAACAGGGGAGAAAATACTTTTGCTAATATGTAATTAAATAGCCATCGAAGAAATTATTCAAGAAAAATATTTTGAGATAAAAATAAAAATGAAAATATTTTTTTTCTTATCAATAATATATTTTTGTTTCTTTTGAAATTCTCATCAAATCAAACAAAACAAATTTGAAATCGATCTGAACGAAACTTATATTGAACAAAACCAATTTCCTTTAACTTTTTTGTCAAATAACGATTGAATTTATTCAAACTTTTTCTCTCATTATTTCAACTTGAATATTTTGAAAAATCAATTTCAATAATCATCGAGTCCTTTTAAAGATGTGAAAAACTTATATGCATTTGACCTTCGATTCAAATCTTGTCTCATTTAACAATATTCTTTTATGATTGTCTAGTGAGAAAAATAGTAGTGTCAATCATGAATTTGTACTCTCAAAGCAGTTTCACATTATCATATGATTTGTGCTCTTTCTTTCTTTCTTTCCAGCAGATGTATTCATTTCTATATTTTAAAAGTTAATATTTTCTCATAAGTAATCTTGTCTCCAAAGTGTCAACGAAGTATATTCATCATTTCATTAATCAATCAAATTTATTTCTACGAGATAATTTCATATGTTCCAAAAACCAGATTACTTCCTTTTGTGCAGTTCAAAAGTTTTAAATCCTTTTTATTCTCTATAAGAGTAAATAATATATAAATAGAAGTGAATGATCGACTGACTTCACATCTCTCACTTCTATTTTTATACATAAAATTCTTTGAGTACATTAAAAATAATAGAATTCTTTTATCATAGTCATAGTATTTTTTATATAATGGAGATGGTGATCTGTATGGTATAAATGGATTTACATCTTATCTAAAATCGAAATAATCAAATAACTTCAGAAAACTTCGCTTTCATTTACATCAACCCGTTGATCTTCTCTTTTTTTTATTCTAATTTCATCTGGAAAAGTCAATCCATCCTTTTTTCCATATGTTATAATGCAATATGATCAAATAAATTTCTTTCCTTTGTCTTGTATCTCATTCTCGTCTCAAGATCTACAAACAAATTTGATATCAGGAAAAGATTCCAGTAATGTTCAAGTTTTTAGTCGTTTTGAAACTATCAATCAATATTCCAACTTATACTTTTAAACTTAAAGTACGCTCATTCTTCAAATCACAAAAAAATTTCGCATAGTCGCTGCAAGAGATCAGTACCATTACTTTTGAATATATAATAGGAATTTCTGTCAAATTCTATAATCTATTATTTGACTCCCTTTTGTTCAACTAAAACGCTAACGAATAATATCATTTTTGTGCAATAGCTGATCGTCAGTATGTGATAAATAAAAGTATTTACCTGTTGTTTCATTATTGAAAATGAACAGAAGAATAATGATAAATACGTAGATATTCCACATCATTCAACAAGAGGTTTTTTGATAAATTAGTTAACTAATAAAATAATCTTCTTCTTCTTTGTCTTCGATGAAAACAAAATGAAACTTGTTGTAGATTGTCTCTCTACTTATATATTTCTCTTTCTCTCTCTTTTTCTCTTATTAATTTCTTCTCACATAGCACAAAGAGAAAAGATAGTGTTCTAGAGAATGTTTCGTCATAGGTAAGATAAAAATTGATTTTAGAGTGGATTAATAAGCAAAACTGATGATTTAATTTGATATTTTTCATTTAATTTCATTCTTTTCGGAATTCGAAAACACAGAACGAAATTTAAATTCAACATAATCCTTTTCTTTTTTTTGATTCTATAGAAAAATCTTTGATTTTAATGAAGAACAACGTGATGAAGAGAAAGGAGAGAACCGATGAAAATCTGCATTAATCATCGGACGTGTTTTAATTGAAAATAAGATATCAGTTATCATCGTCAATAGATGATTGACGTCAATGAATAAGTCATGATTAGTTTGATATTTGTTTTTGTTTGACTCTGTTAAATAATCTGCTTTGTCAGAATTCACTTTTAATCACGTTCTTTATTACTTTATGCGCAATAAGTATTTTTGTGAAAAGTTTCCTTCTTTCAGTATTTCGATTTGTTTTAGAATAAAAACTCATCAGATATATTAAAAGGGTGAGGGTGTGGATGAAAGATGACTATACTTTCCATATCTTTGCTCATGCGCGCGCATATTCACACCCTACATTATATACAAAATATTCTTAACTAATTTGAATAAAATATTTATCTTATAAAATAATTCAAAATCAATGAAGTTTGGTTTTTCGAAGAATTTATTACTATATTAAGACTCCATTTATTTTGTTTTATCATAAAAGTCAAAATAGATAACAATTGCTGACATATACGCACAAAATATATATTATAAAACGAGTTAGAGAAAAACTAGGTCTTTGATTTGTATTGGACTAATTATCATTATAAGATTTTTATTGTTTTTCATTTATTTTTTCATTTGCTAAATCATTTAATTCGTTCCAAAAACTAACTAAACGATTATTATCAATGGCACAAAATGCTCGAAAATCAGCTAACATAATATCTTGATATTTTTCTTCATCTGTTTGAGAACTTCGCCATTTTTTCCTAAACAAAAATTCTAATACCAATAAAAATCCATAATCAAGTAGAAATGATTGATCATCAGAAGATATTCCTGTTGACACAACACATGTTGATCGATTATTATAATGAACACTATAAACATTTGATATTATATAAACTAACATAACACCACTAATATGAGCATAATAAATCTTTTCATTTTTATAACTGATACAAGCATTTAAAATAAAATTATAACTAAAAATACAAAAACAATATTTTTATTCAATTAATAGAAAATAAATTAAATACAACAAACCGTTTTAGAATAAGTTCTTGAAAGTTATTTATTCGAAGAATTTGATCTTTATCAGAAATATTAGCAACTTTACCATGAAGACATAACGAATTTATTTTATATAAATTGAACCTAAACAATATAAAAGATAAGTATACATGAACTGTTTATGTATATATTTCATGATAATACCCAATAATTTTCATATCATGCTTTCTTCTAAACTCGACCTTTTATTTTTAAATAGTCGAGAAGCATGATGATTGATAAGATAAAATAGAAATTGTCTACACAAGTTTCCTATCTATTCTTTTACTTATTTTAGTACTTTTAAATCTTATATTGAATATAAAAACAATACCTCTAAGTGCATCAAATTCAGCAAATAGATCACATGGAATTGATACAAGATGAAATTCAACTTGATTCGAACCAAGTATTATTTCTGTACGTTGTAACCATTGTGTAATTAAATCCCCAAGTATACATAATGTAGCAACAAGCCATCGAATTTCAAGTTCAAATAAACAATGTGGATTATAAAATGAATGATAATATGCTGTTGCTCATTCGCGTCTATCTGATATCTGTTTTATATCAACATCAATATTACAATCACGTTTAACAACAATTGATGCTTTTTCTAAATCTTGTTGTTCGAACTTTTATTTGTGGATTATCAATTCATTTTTGGTAATAAACGCATTGGTTTACATTCACCAAAATCTAACATTGATGAAATATATGTTTGAGTTTGATGAAATTCAACTTCAACATAATCATTTAAATTAAGAAAAACTAAAATATAATAAAGAAAAAATCCAAAACGAAAATTTGTTTCTATATTTGTACAATGTTAAATATATTATTCAGTAAATAAAATTGTGAAAATTTACTTGAAATAAATCTAAAGTTGTTCGTTCATTTTGTATATCTTCATAATATCCCATTGACCACCAAATAACTTCAATTGCAATGAAAGTATGTTCTAGTAATACAGAATCTTTAACAAATAATAAACTTTGCTGATCATCTCGAAATAAATTTAATAAATTATTTATTGCATCTTTATCACCAGATATTATATCAACTAATTTAAATGTTTCAATTGCAATTCTAAAAACAAAAAAGTATCTGTTAATGGATCAAGAAACTAAAATAAAAAAGTGAAATTTTTTTTGTATTTTACTCGATGCATACATTCAACAGATCGAACAGGTAATTGATTAAAATATTTAACATAAAGAAAAAAATCTTCATGTGACATTTCTTCACGACTATCACATTTGTTTGACCAGCTTCAATATTTCTGATTGTGTAGCCTTTTGATACAGGCATAAAAACAAGACGTGCATAAGCCAATATTTTATTTACTAAGAATAAATAGAAAATTCATTGTAGTTCAATGGAAATGCTTATTCTTATCTACATAGAGTAAATAACATTAAAATCAAATTTGTCTGTCTCAACAAGTGAAGAGTTATCTATATTTTAAATTTCTTATTGATTATCAATAGTTTTAATTATTATTCTGTAGATTTTAGTTCTTAATCGTGAAAAAAATGAAATTTAATTAACTCTTTCTCTTTTTCTATGTGCAATGGAATTAATCAGTATTAGTAAAATATACCAACGAATCACTTTATAGGAAAAATGTTAAAACAGTTCTATTATCTATAGATCTAACAGAGATTCTTTTATGTTCATCGTTCTTCTTATATTAACATATTGTTTATGAATCGAAATACAATGTGCTTATTACAGTTTAGTAACAACAATTACAAAATGAATATGATGATCTATTATAATCAAATGTACAATTACGTTGTGAACCGGGAGATCTACTTTGAAAACACTACTAGTGTTAGCTATTACATATTTATCTAAAAAATTAATCGAAAATATTTTAAAATGAACGCTGTATTTATTTATATATTCTTTTAACATATAATACATAGAAGTTATTTAAAGATTCAAGAATGTGTATGTCAGCATGATAGTCTCTTGTCCTACGCTCATATCCAAATCTTCAAATTCAAATCTATGTAATAGGATACGTTCATCATGTAATGTTTTACGATAATAATGTTAATAGTTAAAGTTATAAAATGTCAATAAATTAATAAGATTAAGTTTCAACAATGTAAGAGAATACTGATGGTAGTCGTACCATAGTTTGCTGCAACAATATCGAGTTTATTGTCATTGTTTACGTCACGAACTGCTACTGAATGCGGACTAGCACCAACCGAGTAAATTAATTGAGAAAGAAATGTTCCATTGCCTGTACCGAGAAAAACACCGATGGCATTCGAACCAGGATTTGCGACGATAATATCTTGGTTATTATCACCATTTATGTCACCGATTACTACTGAATATGGACCAGAACCAGAACCAGTTGAATAAGTAACTTGAGACATAAACGTTCCATTGCCCTTGTTGAGAAGAACACTAACGGAGTTCGAATCGACATTTGCGGTGACAATATCGATTTTATTATCATTATTGAAATCACCTACTGCTAACGATTGCGGACCTGGATCAACTGAATAATTAGTCTGAGAAGCAAATGTTCCACTACCTATGTTTAGCAGAACACTGACGGTACCTGAACCATAGTTTGCGACAATAATATCGATTTTATTATCATTATTTACATCACCCATTTGTACTGACACCGGAGTGGCACCAACGGTATAAGTAATTTGATTATTAAATGTTCCGTTGCCTTTATTGATAAAAACACCGACGTTACTTGATCCAGCATTTGCAAGAATAATCTCCGACGCGTTATCATTATTCACATCAGCTACTGCTACTGCGTAGGCATACGACAGAGCTGAGTAAGTAACTTGAGAGAGAAACGTTCCATTACCTCTGTTGAGAAGAACGCTGATAGTGGTCGCACCGTAATTTGCAGTAGCAATATCGACTTTATTGTCGCGATTCATATCACCTACTGCTACGAACCATGGACCTGAACCAGAACCAGTCGAATAGGTAATCTGAGACGAAAAGATCCCACTACCAGAATTTAGAAGAACGCCAATATTATCCGAACCATGATTCGCGACGACAATATCAGATTTATTGTCACCATTTACATCTGCTACTACCACTGATATGGGAGCAGAGCCAACTGAGTAAATTGTTTGATTGTAGAACATACTGTAGCAAGCTATCAAATAGAAAATATATTTCTTTATTTATTATAATGTAGAAGTAGAATCTGATGATCATATTTTATTTCTATTACAGCTAAAATGACGAATAAAATCATATATATTAGTTTGTTATAAATGATCTTTGATTTGTACAATATTCTGGTCAATTTATATTTACTTACTACATTTTTATTGTTATTTATTTCCATTTTTGATATGGCGACATTAATAACAATATTTCTTTGATATACTTTACCATGGTTATAATTTCAATCTAATGGAATTAATATGTTCGTTAATAAAAAAACTAATAGAACATTCTTCAATTTTATTTAATTAAATCGAACTAGATAGATGCAAGTTTCTCTATATTTTTAAATTGATCCTTTAATAGTATTGATGTTTGCTATTAACGGGATGCCACTCTTCTTTAAAGTGATCTGAACGCAGATCAACAGCTGATTATCTAACTCAATTCGTAGAAAAAGTTCACGGAAAAATCAGACATAAGATAATTCATTGCTAAAAATGAAAATAATAGATAATCAACATAGAAGGAGAAAGATACTCGTCGATTTTTGTGTAGATATATTGAGAATTAAAAGTGAAGAGAAGCCAAAAAACTCATGTGTTGAATAATAATAAGAAACATCAGCTGGAATCTCTAATCACAATATATAGTCATATGTAGATGTTTTACTATTGAATTTTGTAACAACAAATCAATTAGAATTTTTTTCTCAAATTATTTATATAAATAAAGAATATGTGAGAGATATATAAACTAAACCTTGCATTTTTAACCATTCGAACTAATCATAGATTAGAAAATTTTAGTCATACATATCATCTAGCAAATTACTTACTAGTTGTTGTCGTTGTTGTTGACGACGTGGATGACGATGTTGTTGTTGTTGTTGTCGTTGACGATGATGATGATGATGATGATGATGATGATGATGATGATGATGATGATGATGATGATGATGATGATGATGATGATGTTGTTGTTGTTGTTGTTGTTGTCGTCGTGGATGATGATGTTGTTGTAGTTGTCGTTGACGATGATGATGATGATGCTATTATTGGTGGTGTAGATGATGGTGTTATTGGTGGTGAAGTTAATGATGGTGTAGATGATGTTGTTGGTGGTGAGGTTAATAATAGTGTTGATGACATTGGTATTGCTGTTGAGTTTGCACTGGATATCGGATTAGCTGAATTTGTTATTGATGTTGCTGTCACTATTGATGTGGTTAATTCTATTTTTAATAAAATGACATTTATGTAAGAAAAAAATACTAGATTAAATTTTTGTTTCAATTCAATATTTTTCAATTGATTAGTATTATATTTAGCTTTAAAATACATTTCAACAAGTTTCGCTGAATTTAGATATTTTTTCTTATATTCCTTTTTATTAATATTTGTACTTCAATAATAAGAATGAATAAGTAGAAACGTAGCATCATCTTTCAGATTCTTCATATATATCTGAGTGACTCATTCTAAACTTGTTAAAAATCTCTTTATTTATTCTATTTTTCTACTCTAATACTAGTTACTGATATTGAATCTTCAGTTTTTTGTTGTCGTTGAACTTGTTCGTGGTGAATACATAAGATTTATTCTATAGAGGGACTTTTTAATGTAATTGTGTTATTTGTTTTTTTCTTCTTTTCTTTCTGTCTATATACCATATAGTCATTTCATTATTTTCCTCAGTTAATTTTCCAGAGGAGAATAGTCAAAAAAAAAAAAAACATAATAATATTTTTTGTTGTAGTGTTATACTCTTTTTTTTATGTCATTTAATCCTTCCTATACCCTCACATAATTATATATGAGATTTATGTTGACAAACGAATGATAGTAATTTTGATTACGAAGCACATGTTGAACTTTGCATTTGATAATATTAATTTATTTCTCATCCTTTTCTATTCGATAAAAGTTAAAAATATTTCAATAATAAAAATGATCATCTTCAATATCTTCTTGCATTCGCTACTGATACTTGTCTATATTTGAATGAACTCGTTTCATCATTTTCTGTAATCAATAATCTAACTATAATAAAATTAGTCAGTAACAACTAGAGGTGCTACATTATTTTTTTACTTGATAATAATTATTATTACTAATTACTTTTATTACTTTTTGACCGTATTACTCATATTATCTTTCGTGATTGTTAGTTACGAGTAAAATAATGTAGTATCCCTAGTGACAACTAATATCTATTTGTTTTATTATCTATATCTCCAATGATTTCGTTTACAATAAAAACTAACAATTACGAATATTCTAAAACTAATTTTATATCAGTATTAATTCTCAAATCGAAGGTTTAACGATTGATTTTGTGTTGTTTCTCTTAATTGTATCTTTATATGTATTTTTTAAAATAATTTCTTTGTAAATATATTATTATTATACTAACCCAATGGAGTCTGTGTTGTGTCAATAACGATCATAGTAATAATATCTGCATTAGATAACATATTCACATTTCCATTTGTTATATTAGCAAATAATTCACATTTCGAAGTTGATTGATGAAAACTAACTGCTTTACATTGAACTTGTGCTAAACAATTTATTCGACACTGCCGAATGTTTGATACTGTAGCAGTGATAAATGATAAACATGTTGTATTAGCACATTCAAATTGCCAACCAAACATTTCAGACATATGAAATGAACGTATATCTTGTGTTATGATTTGTGTAACAAAGATAAATAGAAGAAATAAATAGTTTCTTTTCCAATACATAGCTAACATGACTTTAAGTTTAAGAAAATATCTTAACTAATAATAAAATATAGTGCGCAATAAAAGAATAATAGAAATAATTTCATATTCTTTTTTTCCTCGTATTATACATCGTATGTTATTGACAATGCATTACTATGGTAATGAAACAGTCATCACTTCCTTTATATCAATTATTTTGAAACATTTCTTTTTAAAATTAATACAACATTTTGTTTTTCCGTCATTTCAAATACATTTCATAATTAAAAGTATGATTGATTGTTTGTTAGGTTTTATGTAGTTTGAGAACAAATATAAAATAAAGAAAACTTTAGATAAGATTATTATGATTATTATTAATCAATGGAAATAATGTTATTCTTAGTAATTAGATTAAAATAAATTTAACGATTATTTATCAGAATAATTTCTTTTTTCTTGTCAGAAAATCTATCAAACTAATATAATATTTACTTTTCTTCGTTTTTCTTAATATGTAATGAACAAAATTTAAAAAACGTTGTACATCTGCCATAATAATAATGAAAATTACAGTACTGAATAATAGATGTGTA